AAAAAAAAAAAAAAAAAAAAAAGAAATACGCATTTCCCTCGGCGCAATAATCCCAACTGCATGATAAAATCTATCGTGACAGGCGTTTCCTCTATTTCAAAACTGAACCAACCTTACGAAACTGCCAATCGCCGTCGCGATCGCCATGATCGCTCCTCTTCATCTCTACCGTTTCGTTCCGTTTCCACGCGCACGCAAAGCGACCACGTCGAAACGAAACGAAATCATCTCTAGTTTCTCTCAAGCCTCCTAGTCCCTCTCACACGCGAGATTTTCGCAGAACAAATAACTCGATAAACTCTCGACTTCGAACTTTCGAAGAAACTTATCAACGAACAGAGCAAGCAGGATATTTCAGATTATCCAGAGAAGAAGAATCACGATTCGGCGGTTTCGTTTTCCATTTTTTCGTTCCCCGTTTTTCTGTCCCATTTTTCAAAAGTATTTCGTCGATTGGATCGGAACGGAACGACACGGATCGGTTGGTCGTTTCACGCGGCGTTTTTCGCCGCGTAAATCCTCGTCAGGTTGAACTTGACTCGAGGCAAAAGAGGGAAAGGCGGAAAGCCGAGGAGAACGAATTCGCGGTCGGCGATCGCCGATTATCGCACCGTGGATTTCAAATCCATTCTAAAACACGCGTGAGCGATGATTTCACTGAGTCTCGATGAGTTTTTCCTTTTTTTTTTTCTTCTTCTTTCTTTCGTTGCTGCGTCAGGTGCTTTTGACGAGAGGTTTGCGAAGATTGTACGTACAGGATGACTCACGATTGATGGTCGTCGTTTGAAAGTCACAGAGAATGTCGCAGTGTACACCTGCGCTGGTGAATCTTAGAACAGACAACTACTTTAAAACTGAGAAGAATAAATAATGTTCCATGCAACGATCAGTTCGTAAAGTATCAATATAACGAAATCGAAAGAGCAATTGAATGCTTCTGTATATATATATATAGGATTATATTTAGACTGATTAACGTTGAACTTGAAAAAGTAAGAGCCAATTAGAAAATTTGCTGGGATCTTGTCAATTTTGAAGAATTTTGAAAATAAAATATATCATATATAATTATACGAGTAGTTGAAAATAAAATATATCATATATAATTATACGAGTAGTTGAAAATAAAATATATCATATATAATTATACGAGGGTAGGATAGAATGCCAAAAATAGAAAATATCATAAGACTTTTGAACGAGAGTGTACATGTAAATTTAATTCAATTAATCAAGGAAATTTAATTTAAACAGTAGTTTAGAATCGTAATTTATGCGTTTATAGGAAATTTGAATTTAAACGTTATGGAAAATTGATTTCAATTAATGTACAAAATTACATACAATAGAATATTGTATGATTCTATGAATTTATAATAAGTACGAAGATATCGGAGATAAAGCATCTATTATAATAGATGAGGATAAAACGAATCTCTAATCTCTAGATTTCTTTAATTCATAAACTAATTTCTAATCGTTCGTAGTTTAATCACAACGTGACAAATACTTCAATTCCTTCAAATTTCACATAACTGTAAAATCTTCATGAGAGAGAGATGTAATATTGAAGTAAATCCTTAAAATTCCCCAAATTTGAATAAATTCTGACGTATCGTAAATATAACCTCATCAATATAAATAAAAATCTCATATTGTTGATCTACGTGATATATAAATATTCCACGAATCAAATGAAACACGTCGATTCCTCAAAATCTACGGATCCACCTTTGAATCAGCCTATACGCTTCTTCGAACTTCAACAGCTGGCAAGAAAGTCGATGGACGTGTTCAATTACAACGCAACACACTTTAAAGCCAGCTGATTGAGATCGAAGCCCCATAGAGATACTATTCGTGTCTCCTTCGCGAACAATCGGTTCGCCTAATCGTACTTAATCTCGCCACTCTTGGAGCAAGAACGGATTCGTCGATTTTATCGCACGAACGCGATTCAGCCAGCGATTTTTCGCCGCCATAATCGCCCAGCGAGGCAGTGAAAAACATCGGTCGCGTTCTGTTCTGATCGATTATCCCGATTTTCGTAACAAATCCCTCCACTTCTACGTGGAAAGAGGGCAAATTCGATCGATCGTTTCGGCGAAAATGCGAGACGATGGGTTGTGGAAAAAAAAAAAAAAATAGAAAGATTTCAATTTAGAGGTTTATGTTTTTATATACATACTATTAAAGTCCGATTTCATTTTCACCCAATAATTATATTCGTGCAACATTTATGCAACTTGTGGAAAAAAGTAGAAAGATTTCAATCTGAGACCCTTCGCAGGATAATTGAAAATTATTTATATTTTTACAAACGTTAATTAATTCTCAAGTGAAACAGCGAAGTCTCGTTTAATTTTTAATTAATAATTCTATCGTGTGTTGATACGATTTCTACACATTGTTCAAAGATTTATATAATCTTGTGTTTTAATTACGTTTCGAATGCAGCAAGGTGAATGAATTTATTCCCGAAATTAAATGTAAACTTCAACATCTGCAGGTGAAATTTGGACGTGAAAAAAATCCATACAAAGTATATATATATATACGAAAAGATCTAAAATGCAAATGTTACATATTAATTTTCGTAATTTCACCTTCGACTATTTTATTTAATAGTATCCTTTAACCCATTTTATCTCGCAAACTAATTGTCTTCTTCAACTTTAAAATTTGTGTCTATAGCAAACTATAATATCATTTCGTGCCAAATTAATTTCTAAA